AAGATTAATGTGTTTTCACCAGTACAACTGTTCATCATTCTTGATTGAGATCATGAACCGATTTATGTTAAATCACCATTGAAAACCTAGAAGCACTGGACGGCCGTTTCGTCCTATTGTAGTAGTTGAAAGTTATTCAAATACTCTGGAAACTACTCTTGGAATACTGCTGATCTCAAGTTCAGATGAACAAGAAAGGGTGTGTTTGAAGTGACCATCCCACTTTCTTAAAATTTGCCTCGCTAAAAATACTCCAAATTGTAAATACAATATTAAGGTCATTTCTTCCTTGTCGCATACTGGGGAACTATTTATTGGAATAGTTCGAAATAGTGTTTTTCAAATTATACAATACTTCTAAATGTTAAATTAGAGTATTCATTTTCTCCGTAAGAAATGAACAATATGCAAAATTGAATCAGAATGGAGCTTATTAAAGTAGTGTAGTGATGCTGAAAATAGCAACTGGAGCTTAATACGGCTAAATGTAGATGGATATACTTCGGTCATACATCACTCAACTTAGATCCTACCATAGATGGTGAAGTGTTATCTAGGTTACATACAATAGTAAACTTAGGACTTAGGAACTCCTACAACTTGTCGTCCACAGAATAGGTATTGAAACAAATCTCCAAGTCTTAACATTTTATATATTGCATAACTCGAAACATTTATAACAACAATTCACATATTTTGATGTATAAAGTTTGTGTTCGACCATTCCTAGAATACGGCACATTTATCCTTAGTGATGTGCGCATAAAGAGTAAATTAAGGTTGGAATCAGTACAGAGACGATTTACACTTTGGATTCTTGGAACTGATTGTATCGTGAATTATAATTCCAGATATAATAAACTTGGACCCGACTCTGTATAGAAAAGGTAACTTAAGCTAAATCCAATCTTTGCTGCTCTGAAAATGCATTAAATGTTCTAACCACCTGTAAGTGTATCTTATTCCAAAAGTTAGATTATAGGAACTTTAAATGTTTAACTATTCTTATTGGTGGATTCTCTAAGTAAAATCTCCTACCTGCTGATACTTCACATTAACACCGTCTGTGGCAACCTTAAGTAATCTGAATAACATTTGACATGAACAGTATATCACTTAGTCATATGATATATGCATTATGGTAGACCTGATTGACATATTTTAGTAAGTATTGCTTTGTTGTCCCATGCTCTCTGCCTCAATTTTACCTTCTCTAGTTGTAGATAATTATCATTCATTCGATCTGTCACACGAAATGACTTTAATTACACCGTTCATAAATCAACAGGCTGTCCATTTAAGAAGAATTAAGGGTTTCCGACTGATGCATTGGATTGTTGTAATGTACTACCTAAACAATTACTGAAGTAGTATACTTAAAACTTTCTCCCATCACATGTTTATTCTGTACATCTAATGATACTATTTATATGAAATTGATCAAGATATACACTTAGGAAGAATCAAAAGTTCCTGACTGATACATTACATTGTTATAAATGGATTAGTTGAATGCCTGTTCAGTGATCTAGAGATTAAACGTTCTCACGCAAGACTGATAGATCCTAGGTTTGAATCTCGCGAGGCGGGATTGTGGAAGTGCATTGCCAAGGAGGAATCCCGCAATAAAACGAAACAGTCATCTAATGTTTCCAGGTTTTTCATGGTTGTCTAGCTTCAATTAAATCATGATCTCAACCATTGAACTTATTATAATATCCACAAAACCTTTTCTGATAAATGTACTACTCAAATAAGTTTTGAACTAGTAAACTTAGAACAATCTTATATTACATCTTTATTCTTCATAATTATTGTTCGTTTTATATCGAATATTACTGATGAATGCATTACCTACATGTTATCTACTTAATTATTTTGATAAGTAGGATAAAATGAATTCAAAACTTTTGATCTGCTATGTTATGTTCGTTAACTTGAATGCTACTACTGATTCGTCTTACTCGGAACGGAACAAAGAATCAAAGATTCAGAGATTTGAAAGGCTATAATGATCCGTTTTCCCCGACTTGCCCGACTCGATCCAGAAGTCTTGGTAAGATGTAGAAAGTGTGTTCTACCAATAACCATAAGATACCAGGTCCCTTAAGCACACAAATCAGGCGTATTTATACCAAATATATATAATCGATATTGCCATGGAAGTTTTTAAACATTCAGTCGATAAGTTCGTCAATCGACTATGTGCGTGGGTGGTAAGAAATGCCCAAGCATACATCTGCATGCAAGCTCCAAAAGGATAAAATTACAAAATATAAGTTTTGAAGATCTAACATCCCCAACACTCCTCCCCTTTTTAATAGCGTGCGTTCCTGGGGTTGACCTGCACCTTGACTGTTGCTCGCCGCTGTCGGAGAGGTCACCGTCTGGAACGTGTTTCAGTTTGTTGTCGAGGTTCTTCTTTTGGTGGAGCTGCTGGTGAGTTGAATGTGTCTAGCAGGATGTCAAGGGAAATACTTGCTTCGGTTGATGGGCGGTCTGGGGCCATCCGTTTTCGCAACTGATTCCGATGCTGTTGCCACCTGTTGCTGCCTACCTCAACTTCGTACATGACTCAACCAACTCTTCTGACCACTCGCACTTCCGTCTATGGACCATGGGTTGGTTTGTAGTCTCGGGCAAACACAGGAAATCCCACTTCGTACGTGTAGATCTAACGTTCCCGACAGGCTACTTTTAAAAAATTGAGTGTAGTTGCATATGATAAGAAACGTCCAAATAGAATGATCATATTACTGCTAACACACCATAAGGTATATATTTTCAAAATGGGATTTTGCGGAGATTGTAGCAATTGCAATAGTTGAATTCATGAGCCAATCGAAGCTAGACAACCATAGAAAACTTGGAATCCTTGGATGGCCGTTTTGTCCTATCGTGGGACTCCTCAGCAGTGAGCGTCCGTGACCCAGCTCGTGGAATTCGAACTCAGAGTCTTCAGTTTTGTATTACCGTAAGATATCTCAGAAATGCTGATCCATCATCTGACTATGTGGTTTCGAACTTAGAGTCTTCGTAATCACAACCACATCACACTGTACTACTTATCTGAAATCCGACGTTGTATTTGTTTGGATTAAATCGATTCACAATATTGCGCAACCAACTGTCTCATACCCGAATTGATTGGAATCCATTGATTAAAAGTTTATTATGTTTAACCATTAACCTTTACAATGACCTCTATTCTTACCAATTTGTCTATTTAACTAAATTTTACCAAAGTTTCTGTATTTCATTTCAACGATATGAATAACAATCCTGGTTGTGAATATTTTTATCAATCTAACTAACTTACCCAATATACTTTATATATGTACATAATGATAGGTAATGAAAAAACTGATACATTGGATCTGGTAAATGACAAATACTGGCGGCCTGCTTGAATATCTGGGCTACCTGTTCCTCCGATCTACATATTTCATCAAGTTATCTGTTTTGTTGTTTGTTTTAGTTCATCATTATGTTCATTAAGCACACAACCTATTCAGGCGCGTTTATGAAAAGTTTACAACCTTTCACTATACGTGATACAAAAAGGTGCAATCATCGACATCATGATGGCTGGCAATATGCATTGAAACGAACGAACATTAATCAAATGTGGATTACCGAACTCCTAACATCTAACCGGTCATCATTCAAAATTTATCGTCACAATAGATCAAGGTATAAGAAAAGGAAACTTGTTGAAATACTTTATGCTGAGAATTCTATGTTGTACCAAAAATATAATGTTGAATAAAGCTTCTAATAATATAAATATAAATAATATAAATGGCTAGGAAACGGTATGTAAATCTAGTGAATGGCACATAATTCAATGATGACTTGATTATATATAGATATATGTTTTTCATTCAGTTAGTCAATAAGCATCCTTTCTCATTTGAATATCCGATTGCACTTGTCAGTCAGTCAGTAACAACGTAGAATTTCGTACGTTCGAATTGTCATACCACATTAGCACAGAGTTACAAATATCGATTCAAATCCCATAGTGGTAGAGATAGTAAGAGTATAAGCAGTAATCAGAAAGATTAGGGTTTGAAGATGTTATTCAACGAGTATAATCCAGTGAAATAAATTTAGAAAGAGACAAAAAGAAAGGGACATGAAGAGTTTTGAAGATTAGAATTTGGGAGGATACAAGGAGTGGATGCACCTGCACCATTTTGGGCCGTGTCATTCAAAATCTCTAACCATCAGTTGCTATCACCTCGCGGATCCCAACTAAGTAGTTTGCACTTACCAACATGGTTCAGTTTACTTGTCAGTGACTTCATGGGTTTGTGCGATGTTTTGATTTGGCCTCTCCTAGCTTTCTTTCAACTTACTCCTACAGCATAAAACATTGCACGTCGGGAGAGTCGGCGTTTGGGCATACGTAACACATATCCCAGCCATGTCGACTGATGATGGTTCTTTACTTCATGAACTGATTTGCTATCCTATCTAGTACCTACCTCCTAACAACTGCATTACTTACTTGGTAGTCCCAGAATATACGAGCAGTGCTTCGAAGACATCTATGACTGAATACTAGTAATCGATGAATATCCTCTAGTTTTACCGGCCATGTTTCACTGCCATAAAGTAGGACGAAACAATGTAGTGCACAGTAAACTCGTATAGAGTATCAATGAGTATCAATATTGTCACTTAGTTACCATGTATCACAAAAAGAAATAAATAATCAGTATCATCACAAAAATATACATAATTATATTAATTCTTAAATTTTTTTTGGGGGGGGGGCGCACATTCATTTTGAAAATTATGCGGTTAATTTAAAAATTTGCTCAAATGAATTTCCATATTACACTTTTACTGAAGTTCCTTTCTTCCTCTTTTCTTTCTTTCTTTTCTTTTCTTTTTTGCGACAAGTTGAACATAAACATAAACTGAACAGAGAATAAAACATTATCAATCAATCAATCAATCAATCAATCAATCAACTAATCAACGTATTTTGACTTTAATAAAGAAACGTGAAAAAGAAAAAAAATAAAGAAAAACAAAAGAGAGAAAAGTGACAAAAAAAGAAAGAAAAACGACATGACCTTTTCATTTATATTCAACAATATATAATTCAATGTCTATTCTCTGGCTTGTAATAACAGTAATAATGATAAGAAAAAGAATGATATAAATAACTTTAAAAATTGTACTATATTGTAAAATTTCGCAGTATAACGACTAGTTACAAACATGTGTTTATGTGTGTGTGTGAGAGAGAGAGAGAGGGAGGGAGGGAGGGGTCGTCGAAGGAGACAAAGAAGATATTATTAAGAATCAATTAGTTGATAATAGATAATGATAGATGTTTACATATATTTATGAATCAGTTAGTCAGTTAGTCAGTCAGTAACAATGTAAAACTGCGTATGTACGTACATCAGTTTGAGTTGTCATACCACATTAATACAGAGATACAATTGTCAATTCAAATCTCATAGTGATAGAAATAGTAAAAGTATAAACAGTCATCGAAAAGATTAAGTTATGAAGATATTATTCAAAGAGTATAATCTATTGAAATAAATTTAGAAAAAAGAAGTTAGGAGAACATAAAGATTGAATGATTTTGATTCATATCATTTAAAGTTTCTAACCATCTTGAATAGAATTGGCAAAGCAAGAGCCGCATTCCTACAATTGAAGAACATATGAAACTCAAAACAACTGTCTGTCAATCAATATCAAAGTCACAATCTTTTAATACGAACGTCAAGACATTTCTACTGTATAGAGATGAAACGTGGAGAACTACCATAACGATCGTCAAGAATGCAAAGTATTTATAAAGTATTTATTTATTCAACATCCATTGACCGGATACTATCAGCAACAGCCTTCTGTGGGAGAGAACAAACCAGCTTCTAGCTGAAGAGGAAACTAGGAAAAGAAAATGGAAATGGATAAGACATATATTACGCAAATCATCAAACTGCATCACAATACAAGTGCTAACTTGGAATCTTGAATGGAAGAGGAAAAAAGGAAGGTCAAAGAACACATTACATCGAGAAATAGATAGAAAGGATTGTTCAGAACAGGTTTGGATGGAGAATACTGGTAAGCGGCCTGTGCTCCTTCACGAAGAGTAACAGGCGTTATGTAATTAATCAAGACAGGGTTGAATAGCGAATGCTGATAGGTGGCCTATTCAAACATCTTTATGAATCTTTTTATAAAAGAGAATAAACAATAGAAAAGATCGATATGTAATCATTTAGAAAATGATTACATAATCAATTTTATTGATTAATACAACATTTATATAAGGCACAATGTGTATATAAATGTTTAATATATAATCGATAAATACGATTACCCCAAAATCCATATAGAATTGTATCTAATATTGCACTAGAATAAGAAAATATACTTGTATATTGTAACCATGTATATAAATAAGATTGATATTGATTTTTATAATAAGTATAATATTGTAACCATTGTATAATTAATATGAATGATCTTGGTCCACGACATATAATAAATATTAATAATAATATAATTAATATACGTAATGTACGTTTATGTTGTCGTCTTAATACTTGTATCAATATAGATTCATCAGTAGTAGATTTTGTATGCATAAAATCTGTTGTACGTGATTGAAATAATAAATTCAATATATCATTAGTACTTTTACGACGTTTTTGTATTGTATACATTGTAGATAATTTGATATTTGATTCATTGAATCGATAGGATGGTGATGTTGTTGTTGTTGTTGTTGTTGTTGTGGATGTTGAGGATGATGATGATGATGATGGTGGTGGTGGTGGTGGTGGTGGTGGTGAAGTTTTTGTTGATGTTGTCAGTTGACAACTATTATGAGTAGTATTCATAGTATTAGTAGTAGTAGTAGTCAATAATCTTTTTGATGTTAATGTTATATTGGAATTATTCTCATAGAATTCATTATAGGATATCATTGGTTGAATAATTGATGTACTATTTCTTCGTTCATTAAATAAATATTTTTGATTATTATCAATACTACTATTATTTCTATGATATAATGATGAATTAGTTGTCATGGTAGTAGTAGGAGGAGGAGGAGAAGGAGGAGGGGGAGGAGTAGTATTTGATAAATTTTTAATAGATGAATATTGAAAACTATTCTCATTTATATCAATAAAAGGAACTAAAAGTGTATTTTGTTTTTGATTTTTTAAATTGGATATTGATTGTTTAGTTTCTAAGTGATCATTGAAAGGTTTATTGATTAGTGTATTATACTCCTCAGATGTATTATCATTATTATTATTAGTAGTAGTATTGTTGTCGTCGTCAAGATTAATTCGAATATCTTGATTACTACTTTCAAGTACACGTAATAATGGTATTGGAAAATTAATAGTTGTTGTAGTTAATTTTCTTTGAGTTGGTGAATTGATTGATGAAATCGATGTACCAGATATAAATGATGATTTACTAGTATTACTTGATTGTCTAGAGAAAAATCGTTTATCTCTTGATGATACCTACAGATGAAAAACAAAACCTCAAGTGAAATCATTTGAAAATATTGATAATAACGATTGAATCAGTTAGTTAGTTAGTTAGTTACTTAGTTATTTAGTTACTTAGTTACTCACTTACTCAGTTACTCAGTTAGCTAGTTAGTTAGTTACTTAGCTACTTAGTTACTTACTTACTTACTTGCTTACTTACTTATTTAGTTAGTTAGTTAGTTAGTTACTCAGTCACTCAGTTACTCAGTTAGCTAGTTAGTTAGTTAGTTACTTACTTGGTTACTTAGTTAGTTAGTTAAGATTCTCATACCTTATTAACACAGCGAGATAAAGTTGTCAGAGTAAATCTTAAAATAGTAGAGGTGTGATAGTGGAGCATCGCATGGAAGTTGTTAAAATTGACAGTCGAAAACAGAAGTCTCAAAAAACTAAAATCAAAGCGAGTTTAGAATACTTTTGTGACTAAAAGAGAAGCGATGGAAGACAGTTTACAACAAGCTTGGGTTGCAGAACACATAAGAAATCCAAATGGAAAACTAAATAATAAGTGTATATATATATCATAAATAATCTGTGCTCTATCTATACTTGGCTTATTTGTACACTATAGAGATAGTAACAGGGTAAGTAACAACAAAACATTAGGCATCAAAAATATGATTTAATAAAGTAAAAACACAAAATAATTATTAAAGGGATTAGAAAATACAGGATCTAAGTAAAGATAAAGACTGAATGGACCTGAGTCATTTTGAAAGATTTTGAATCATGTCATTCTAAGTATCTAACCACTAATCAAGATAACCAAACGGACCCCAGCTAGATAGTATGGCTCAGTCCAATTATTAGTGACTTCGTGAACCGATAATATATCTTTCTTTCGACCTACTACTACAACATATAACATCCCTCGTCGAAGTAGTCAGTGCATAACCATACGTAACATATATCCCAACCATTCCACTGATGAAGATTTACCACCTCATCAGTTGATTTGTCAATTTTTTTGCCTATTACCCTATTTCTAACCATGGCATTGTCTACTCAGTAATCCTGAAATATACAGGCAACACTTTTAAGACACCTATGATCAAATACTGCCCCCAAATGCCCTGGTATGGCCGAGTGTTAGGCAAATCAGCCCCCCTGGACACGAAATGTTCTCACATGGACACATGTATACAACCAGTGACAGGGAAGTCGTACTGACTACCTTCTCGCACGACAGGTGTTGTTTACGAAATTAACAGGACGAAAAACGAACGTCTAGCTCTTTAACCAGGTTGGTGGACACGGAAAGTCTACCTAGGTGAATGGAAAATCGTCATTCCAAATCAATGATGTACATGACTTCCAGTAACCTGATAGAACAAATAGCGTATAAACGAATCGTTAGTCATCGGTTACTCTGGGACTCGATATGTGGCCCTCTAAGAAAACCACCTGTTTCGGTTTAGTTATATTTTATACTCATTGATAATAGAATGAAATGAACCATTATGCAATATCAGTATAGGAGTTGTGAAGATTATTAAGTTTTTTTTCCTTAATTGAGATCATGAACCAATTAATGTTAGATCACCGTTGGAAACTTGGAAGTACTGAACAGTCGTTTCGTCCTATTGTGAAACTCCTCAACAGTACACATCCATGATCTCGTTCACGGGATTCGAACCCAGAGCTTTCAGTCTCTCGCACGTGAACATTTAATCAACTAATTCTTTTAGTTGGCAAATAGATAATTCACTTATATTTTTTTTCATTATTTACATTATAAATGAATTAAATAAATAAATAAAGAGTAATAATAAAATACCAAATACAAAATGTACTTTATAAAGTTCATAATGAAAAATAATAAGATAAGATCAATGTGTACATCTCCATATTGACTTATAATAAAGAAGAAGAAGAATAGAACAAATTGTATGTATATCAGATTATTCGTGTTATTTTCATTTTGGATGATAGAAGATTGTTGTTTTTCATTTGATTATAATATGACCTTATTAGAAATACGTACTTATATTTATCAAATTATTATTAATACAAGCAAGTGGCTATCAGGACTCAGTAGTTTAGTGGATAATACGATGATGTTTGAAATGAAGGGTACAAGGTTCGAATCTTAGAGTGAACATCAACTGTGAGATGCAGGCACGTGTAGCTTACCAGTGTCAAATAGGAGGAAACGCGCCTACTGCATTCCACTGCTAACCACTATCCATGTTTGCTAAGAATGCTTGTGAATTATTGTGATCTTGAGTCACATATGTCAATAAGCGACTGATCACTTACAGTACCAAACATCAATGGGAAGATTCAAGTGAACGATGCCAAGTGAATTTCAACTTCAACCCATTGCACAAACAAGTAGCTGTGAGGACTCAGTAGTTAAGTGGATAACGTGATGACGTTTGAAGTGAAGGGTACAGGGTTTCAAGTCTTAGAGTGAACATCAATAAGTATGGAATGAAGGTATATCCAATTGACGAGTCCTAAATAAGGTGAAATGCACTTCCTATATTCCACTGCTAACCACTATCCATCTTAACGTATAATGCTTGTGAGTTAAGGCGAAATCGAGGCAATATAAACAGTATGTACATATTATCCAAATGGGTTTTGTGGAGATTTTAGAAATTTCACTGATTGAAATCATGAGTCAATTGAAGCTAGACCACCATAGAAAACCTGGAAGCACTGGACAGCCGTTTCGTCCTAGTATGGGACTCCTCAGCAGTGCGCGCTGCGAGATTCGAATCCATCCAGTGGTTCCAGGTTTTCCATGGCGGTCTAGCTTCAATTGATTCATGATTTCAATCAGTATGTACATATTTCAATAAGAGATTAATCAATCGCAGTCCTACAAATCAATTGGAAGATTCAGCTAAACAACAATACCAAGTGAATTATATACAGATCTTCAGTCAGTTAATCAGTCAGCGAACTACAATGCAGGACCAGGCAGTTCATACATTATACTCATAACAAAAAAGTCAAAGGCCGTATTACTCTATACATACTCTTATTTTGTTCTAATGAGGTATAAAAGAAAAATATGACCCATTATGCAATATGTAACCCTTACGAAAAATTGTTTTATTTTGAGTTTTAACCCAATATGTTTTTTTTTTTAATTTTAAAACAAATAAACACAAATCTCTATGAAATCATGAACTAATCAATGTAAGACCACGATTCTGTATGTGGGATTTGAAGCCAACACTCTCGGTCTCATCTATGAACACTTAATATTTAGACGATGAACCGGTGTCAATGTCAAACTTCAACCAATTCACAATGTCACACAGCTGAGGTATCCCATTCTAAAACAAACTGGTTGTTCAGTGTCTTCAAGTTTTCAATGGTGGTCTAACATTGATCGGTTCATGATTTTCATGAAATTCAACAATCTTTACAACACAAAACTGAAGATACAAGTTTTATCTCTTAATTGGTAGATATTATTTCACGAGTAACAATATAACTTCCATATTTATCCCAATTATCATTTTGGCAAATTAATGTAACACACATTTCTAATTTTAGCAGTGGTTTTCAGTGATTGTAGACAGTTGATAAGGAACCCTGTTCTCCCTAAGCAAAAGACTAGTTGGCTTTAATTAGCAGGGCATAATTATAATATTGAAGAAACAATCAGTCCCCATAGGTTTGGAGATCATTTCACTTAGTTCCAAAGTTTGATTCATTATAGTTGAGTTACTAGGGTATATGACTAATATTCTGTAAGACAGAGATACGTATGTTAACTGGTCGTTAAGTAATGGACAATGTCGTGTCTGTCTAGCCACTAGTGATGTGCGTTCAAATCCTACTAAAATTTGCAATTGCCCTAAGAATGTCGACAAAACCTTGTATGAAGCTTAGATTCACCAGGAGTTCCTGAAAACTACCTTCAACCGTCTAAAATAGAAGCATTGTGCTTGTGATATCGAATCATTTTGAATCATCAAACAAAATAGAAATATTCCAGTAGAGATAATCTTCTTTTCGGAGTTATCATTAACGAGACCTATACAATCGTTGAGATAAGATAATGGTTAAAAGTAGTCAATAGGAAACTCTGAACCTTTAATCCTGAGGGAACTGACTCTCCATGACAGACTCGACCCCATGTCACCCAGCTTCACAATCAGAAATATTCACACTGGGCTATCCGGGCCGCGACCGACCTTCTGTAGGACTGAGATGTATTCACAATTAATTAATCATTGGATGGTGATCAATGTCATGTTTATCAGGTCCTTCGTAGTGCAGATCGAATGCTATCGACCAAGTTGTAATATGGCTACTAGTTTAGGTAACTTGGTTGATAATATTCAATCTGCATTAAGAAGGACGCGATAGATATGACATTGATCACCACTCAGTGATCAATCAATTGTGCTATACAATCGTATTTATAGTTATCTTTTAACATAGAGTGGTCGATAATAAAAATAGAGAACTATTGAGTCATTAACAGAGGTGCTAAAGGTTAATCAGAACTTAGAGTTACGTAATCGCTAAAGAGTAATTAGTATGAAACGAGATATAGCAATAAGGTAAGAGTATTTTCCACTTAATGGTTATAAAGAAGATAAATATGTATGAATATGTGTCGAAATAGGGTATAGAATGGAGATATAAAAGATAAGTTTTTATTTGAATAATATAGGAGAAAATAAACATGTATTAAATAACTACTAACAAAATAAGAAGGGGTGTTAGGACCTTAATAGACTAAGTAACTCAATGTAACGCTACTGAACACGAAATTGAAGCTCTAATAGATGAATCATGAAAACCTTCTCTATGCGCGATTTTCTTTGGTGAAGTTTGATACTTCTTATTTACAATTTTTTATGATTTTAATCATCATCAACAAGGACAGAGTGGATTGGAGAATGCTGGTCGGCGGCCTATGCTCTAATGGAAGTAGCAGGCATGAGTAAGTAACCATAATCATGGTGAGTGCATCGATTTCTTTGAGTCTATCAGTATAG